TCCTCCGCCTGTCCAGCCGCAGTCACAGTTACCGCCTGCCTCGCCTCTCCCTGCTCCCTCTCCTTACACTGGTCCCACAGGAGGTCTTACCGAGCGTCGTGAGCCTGAGTCTCGTCCTGCGTCGCCTGTTCGTCCTGCTCGCACTGGTAGTCGTGTCCGTCGTGAGCGTCCTCCTCCTGTCCCAGGCACTCACTACATGACTCTGCGTCCCTCTACTGCTCCTCGACGTGTCCCTCTACCGTCTCCTCCTGAGTCCTCTTTGCCTGCCGTTCCGGACCCTGAGTCTGACCGGTATCGCGCTGAGCACCCTACAGTCACGCGTCTCCTAGCTACTGTTGTCACTGACCCTACCTTTGAGTCCTCGGCTGCGTCTGCTCTGGTCGCTGAGTTGGTTGACTTTGCTGCTGCCTGTCGTCTAGACTACGCTGCTAGCCTTGTTGCTGCGTCAGAGTCTGCGTCTGTCTGTCCTCCGTCCGTCGGGGGTGAGTGTGCTCTTGGCACGGACGTCCTTGAGGACAGGCAGGAGGACTTTGACTCTCTTGCGGCTGCTGTACCTCATCTCGTGGCCTGGTTGCTTGCCCCTGAGGGAGACCCGGATGCACTAGACATCCCCACTCCGCGCACTTACGCAGAGGCGATCTCGGGTCCCTACTCCTCTCAGTGGCAGACAGCCATGGACGCAGAGATGGCATCCTGGAAGTCCACAGGCACCTACGTCGACGAGGTTCCCCCTCCTGGGGCGAACATCGTCGATGGCATGTGGATTTTCAGGGTGAAGCGGCCGCCAGGTTCTCCGCCTGTCTTCAAGGCTCGTTACGTTGCTAGAGGCTTCAGTCAGCGTCAGGGGGTCGACTTCTTCCAGACCTTCTCCCCCACCCCGAAGATGACCACTCTTCGGGTTCTGCTGCATGTTGCTGCTCAGCGTGACTACGAGCTTCACTCTCTTGACTTCAGCACAGCGTTCCTGCAGGGCAGCCTGCATGAGGAGATCTGGCTGCGCCGCCCACCTGGCTTTACTGGGTCGTTTCCCCCTGGTACCCAGTGGAGTCTCCGCCGGCCAGTCTACGGTCTCCGCCAGGCGCCACGTGAGTGGCACGACACACTGAGGACTACACTTGCGGCTCTTGGGTTCGCGCCGTCTACTGCTGACCCGTCGCTGTTTCTGCGCACAGACACGTCGCTGCCGCCGTTCTACATTCTCGTGTACGTCGACGACTTGGTCTTTGCTACTGCTGACACTGAGGCACTCGCTCGTGTGAAGTCGGAGCTGCAGAAGAGACACACCTGCACTGACCTGGGTGAACTGCGTAGCTACCTTGGCTTGCAGATCACCCGGGACAGAGCTCGCCGCACCATCACCCTGACTCAGTCACACATGGTGCAGCAGGTCCTTCAGCGCTTCGGCTTCCAGTTCTCCTCACCACAGGCCACACCTCTGGCTACCAGCCACTCGCTCTCAGCTCCACCTTCGGACGAGTCCGTAGAGCCGAGTGGCCCGTACCCAGAGCTTGTAGGCTGCCTCATGTACCTGATGACCTGCACGCGACCTGACCTCGCGTACCCTCTTAGCATCCTTGCTCGTTACGTTGCGCCTGGGAGACACAGGCGAGAGCACTGGGAGGCTGCTAAGAGGGTGCTGCGTTACTTGTGCAGTACGTCAGGCATGGGGCTGGTGCTTGGAGGACGCGACAGAGTTGTCCTCACTGGTCACTCGGACGCTTCTTGGGTGGACGACCTGGCTACGCAGCGGTCGTCACAGGGTTACACCTTCAGCCTTGGCTCTGGTTCTGTCTCGTGGCGGTCCACCCGCTCTTCCTCTGTTCTCGGCTCTAGTTGTGAGGCTGAGATCTACGCCACAGCCATGGCTGCACAGGAGTTACGCTAGCTCACCTACCTGCTGACTGACTTGGGAGAGCGGCCTAGTTCTCCTCCAGTTCTGTACGGTGACAACAAGGCGGCTCTTGCCTTGTGTCAGGAGCACAGACTGGAGCACAGGACGAAGCACATTGCTCTTCGCTACTTTCTTGCTCGAGAGCTTCAGCAGCGCGGTCAGCTTCGGCTTGTGTACGTGGACTCGAAGGCCAACACTGCTGATATCTTCACCAAGGCGCTCCCGCCTAGTGATCATCAGCGGCACTGTACTTCTTTAGGCCTTGTGTCCACGTTTCCTCACTTGCTCACTGCTTGACATTCTTTGTACTGTACTTTATATATATCTTGTTGCTTACTTGCTAGGTTTTGATCACTGTGTTGCTTGTCTTGTACTATATCTAGCACTGCATGTGAACTGGCCTTGTGGCCTTTACTTGTGCTCGGAGTGTGGTGACGTTGTGATCCACCCTGGGCTTTGTTTTGCTTTGCTGGACTGGTCTTGTGACCCTTTGTTCTCCCCCACTTTGCCTATGGGGGTGTGTTAAACTGTATTATGCTTGTAGGCTGTAGTGGGGTAGCCAATATGGGGTACAACCCCAACTAGGGTTTCATATTTGTACCCAAACTTCTGCTAGTTCATCCATTCTTGCCTAGTGATTCTGATAATTACCGCTCTTCATCGCGCCTCTAAGCAGCAGCCGCATTAGCAGCGCCCGTCGAGCACTTAGTTGCACCCATCTCGTCTCTTAGCAGCACCCGCCGTAGCAGCGTCAGTCTCGCTCCTTAGCAGCGCCCATCGCGCTCCTTAGCAGTGCCCGTAGCGCTCCTTAGCAGCGCCCGAAGTTGAATAACTTGTTACGTAAAAAGAAGACCGTCAAATGCTGCACTGGGGATAGATAGATATTGGAAATAGGAGCGGTATAAGTAAACGACGTCATGGAATGCGTTATTCTGGTTGTATGAATGAATAAAAAACGTAGGACCGCGCACATCTCAGCAAGCGATGAACACCATGACATTGTTGCATAGAAAAGCAGAAACTGGATTTATAAACCTAAATGTATAACATCCGCAAAGCTAGATTGGTTCTACAAAAGTCGTAGTGCTAGGCTAACCAAAACAGATCGTGCGAACAAATGTTGGGCAAGAAATGCTCGAGTGAAAAGCTCAGTTTAAAAAATGGAGCATCTAGATCTGAAAGGGATGGACAAGTCGAGAGTGGTTGGGGGATGAGTTTGGTAAGGTGTGTAGGTAGCTGTGGCTAATGTTTTCCGAGCCTAACCTGCACAGGAAGGCGTTTGTGTGGCAGGTGGTGTGACAGGTGGCAACCCTGGCAACAGGTGTCAACATGTTGCGAAGGAGTTTTTGATTGGATTTTGAGTTTAATTGAACCAACTTGCTTGGTTTACAACCGAGTTAGCGTAGTGGTTACGAATCGCGCGTGCGATTGGGAGATCGCGAGATCGATTCTAGCTAGTAAAAAGCAACTTATAATTGGGAGTGTTCGTTTTCTTTCCTAATCTAACAATTTTGTGTTCGGTATAGTGCACCAGGCAAGCATCGATCCCCGACCTTCTGCATAGTAACATGAATCGGAGACTTCTTGGACAGATTCCGGATACTTCGCGTTTTGGCTAATTTTCGGACATTTTTAGACCCTTCAATTTTGGGTGAAGACTCTTTTTGGACACTTTTGGGGGGTCAAATGACACAATGTGGACCACCTAGCTGGCCGGCTGCATTTCGGACCGACACTTTTTGGTGATGTACTACTGGTTGATAACCACGCGACGCGCTTGTAATGTAGGTGCATGAAGCTGGGGAAACAACCTCGGGTGCAGCGTATCCATCCGGCGCAAGGCAAATTCGCGTGCATGGGGTGAGCATCAGCTGTAGCGCAGCCAATCAGCACGCGCTTGTCTCAATGTTGCGCGGCCAATCAGCACGCGTCTGCGGTAGGGTTCACATACATGTGCAGTGCTCGCAGTATCTCGTAGTGTTTCCGATCTCTCCAAACCATTCATCCAGCCTTTCGCAGACTTGTGTTATTTTGTGAATACCTGCGCATGGTGGCCCTTTCGGTGTTTTTGGGGGCCCTCATTCTTTGTTGAGGAGGCAGTGGATGCTTGGAGGGCAGTGGTCGATTTCGATGATGATAGTGTGAAGACGCAGGCAGTTTATGTAGTTGCATTGTACGAGTGCGAGAGATTCAGGAGTTGTGACTTGGGGGCCTCAGCGCGAAGTGCGGCATCGAGTCGCCATGTCGTTTTCCTCCCCTTTCAAGTAAATTGGGCCACCGCGGAATGGCAATAATTTCGAACTCCCCACGAGCTGACCGCGTGACGATGCTAACGAAATTGGGAGTTGGACTGTGGGGGCATTTGCGACTTGGGGGGTTCAGCGCGAAGTACGGCTTCGGGTCGCCACGTCGATTTCCTCCCCTTTCAAGTAAATTGGGCCACTACCGCGGAGTGGCAATAATTTCGAACTCCCCACGAGCTGATCGCGTGACGAATGTAACGAATTTGCTGAAGGCATTTGCAATGCTTGTGTTACCATTTGCGAAACTCGGCTGTGGTTGAAGCTCGTCAAATATGCAGAGTTACCAGAATTTGAAATCCGTGCAATCTGAATTCTGGCATGGATATCCGATTCATCCGCCTCACAGCCAATGACGAAAGTTGCGAAACTCCAACAATCGTTGAACCTCTTAGCCGTAACTGACGGAACGACGATACCCTCCCAACAAACAGCAACCAACGAAACAGCTTCCTTTCTCGAAACCAATCGTTAAGCCACTCGCCAAACCACCCCTTGACCAGCATCTTTCGTTACACCCATCTCCGTTACCGTCGCCACGAGCTCATTTCGCAAAGAGCTTACAATTATTGCCATTCCGTCACCAGCCCAAGAAAATCGACAGGGCGACTCGAAGCCGCACTTCGCGCTGAACGCCCCAGTCTCACTCAACGAACTGCCTAATCCCTACCACTAGTAACACAGCTATATTAATCTCCTGCTTCTTCACACAATCATCATCGAAATCGACCACTGCCCTCCAAGCATCCACTGTCTCATATTCAAGCTCGCTTTTTCCAACTCTGATTTTCGCGCTGCTCCTTTTCCCGATGGCTCGCGTTTCCAAGGTCGCCAGCCTGCTGTGCGTCGGAATAGTCCTGCTCGCGCTCGCCCTCACTCCTGCCGACGCCATTCCGGCTACCTCCTCCGACCTGAACAGCGACGGCACGTGCTACCGCGACTTCCAAGGTCGCTTCCGCAACAGTCCTTATTTCGGCAAGGTTGCGCAGGTGCCTGTCAGCAAGTTTAACAGCAACAAGGGCTGCGGAACGTGCTACGAGGTTTCCTGCTCGGGCCGCGCATGCAAGGGCGGCTCCGTGAAAGTGCGAGCGATCGGGAATAGTGGATGGGAGGCCTTTAATCTCGATGCTCCCGTGTGGAACCAACTCGTGGGCGGGCAGGGCGGGCAAGTGGAGGTCACGTACGATCCCGTGGATTGCGATAGCAGCGGCGGAATGGCGGTGAGACTCTTGGGCCAAGCCAGTCGGGACTATTTTGCCCTTCAGATCCTCGGAACGGCGAAGAAAGGCGGCGTGGACAAGGTGGAGCTTTCGAGTGACGGGAAGAAGTGGAGTAGCATGTTCATTGAAGGCGGCGCGTGGGTGATGAGGCCCGCCACAGGCGTCGTGGAATCGGGACGCGCGGTGAGCGTGCGCGTGACGGCGGCGGACGGCGGCCGGCAGGTTGTGCTGGACAGGGTGATTCCGAGCAACTGGAGCGGCCGCGAGGAGACCTACAAGACCAACAAGAACTTCTAGACGTTGTGACGCTGCGAATAATCGCGACGGCGCTGCTAGTAACGGGACGAAGGCGCTGCTTGTAACGGGATGCGCTGTTAGGAGGTGGTGTGACGCACGAGAGTGTTTGCTAATAATGCTGCTACCATGGCATATGGTGGTGTGCAAGGCAGTGAATAAAAGCCCGGCCATTTCAGGTGCAGGCGGATGGGTATCATGAGGCTGCATGGTGATGTGATGCGATGCGATGGATGTGGTGCTGGTTTAAGTACGGGCTGGTGATAAGTACGGTAGGTGCTGGCGATATGCCCCCTTTCTTTTCTCTGTTTCAGTAGTTGGGAAAGGTGATTGTGCGTGCTTTGTTGCCTTCCACTGTCATCTTTTCAATAAAACATTTATTTTCTGAGACATCTCAAAACTGGTACCCTGAAAGCATCTTCAGCCGTGGTGAGAAAATTAGTGCCCATGTCTACATTCAGAGCTTTTGAATCGTACGGTAAACAATGCTCAGTTGTGAAAAGAAGGTAGAGGCTTAGAGTAACTAGGCTAAGAGATGCAAGCTTGAACAGCTGTTTTTGCTGTTTTTGCTGTTTCAGCTGTTTTTGCTGTTTTTGCTGTTTTTGCTGTTTCAGCTGTTTTTTGCTGTTTTTGCTGTTTTTGCTGTTTTTGCTGTTTTTGCTGTTTTTGCTGTTTTTGCTGTTTTTGCTGTTTTTGCTGTTTTTGCTGTTTTTGCTGTTTTTGCTGTTTTTGCTGTTTTTGGGTTTAGAGTTGCGTGGCTGGGAGAGATTTGGGAGTGTAGGGACTTGGTGGAATTCCGCGCAGAGTGCGGCTTCGAGTCGTCAATTTCCTACCTGGGCTGGTGCCGCGGAATGCCAATAATTTTGAGCCCTTCGCGAACTGACCTCGTGGCGACGGTTACGAAGACGGAGGGTGGGTTGGCGAGGGGCCCAACGGTGTTTGCATGGGAGTGGAACGGCGAATTGCTCTTCGGCAAGGCCATTTTTGTGTTACCACCGTGGATGTGGATCGTCAAACGTGCGGAGTTACCAGAATTCGAACTTCGTATGGGTTGAACAATGACATCTCCCTAGTAAGGGCGTGTTACATTTTCGATTTTTTCGGACGGTTCGGACAGCACCACTTGAAACCGTAGCAGCAGGCAGTGGAAGCATTAGGACAGTCACCACTTCAAACGTTTCGAAACGTTTTGAAACCCAATTGAACAAAGCGTTTTACAACAAAACCACTCTGAACCGTTCTGATGGTCCGGTCCGTTTGGAAATATTTGAAAATGTAACACGCCCTAAGCCGCCTCACAGCCGGACTCGACAGTTGCGACGCTCACTGGAAGGCTTCCCCGCAACCGACGGGAACCACGGTTACCACGGCCCTATCCTGGATAATTATTGCCCACCAATAAATTGACGAAACAACGACACTTCTCGAAAAGTATCGTTGAGCCCTTCGCCATCACTGTCTGACCCACAGCGTACGTTACCGTCGCCACTGTCAGCTCGCGAAGGTTTTGAAATTATTGCCATCCCATGCACATGGCCAATTTACTAGTAACGGGAGGAAATCGACATGCGACTCGAAGCCGCACTTTGCGCTAGGCCCCCCAGACCGCAACTCCTGAATCTCTCCCCACTCACGCAACTATATCAGTTTCCTGCTTCTCCACCACATCATCATTCAAATCGACCACCTTCCAAGCATCCACTGTCTGATATTCAAGCGCGCTTTTCCGAAGTCGGTTTTAAACCTTGGTTTTCGCGCTGCTCCTTTTCCCGATGGCTCGCGTTTCCAAGGTCGCCAGCCTGCTGTGCGTCGGAATAGTCCTGCTCGCGCTCGCCCTCACTCCTGCCGACGCCATTCCGGCTACCTCCTCCGACCTGAACAGCGACGGCACGTGCTACCGCGACTTCCAAGGTCGCTTCCGCAACAGTCCTTATTTCGGCAAGGTTGCGCAGGTGCCTGTCAGCAAGTTTAACAGCAACAAGGGCTGCGGAACGTGCTACGAGGTTTCCTGCTCGGGCCGCGCATGCAAGGGCGGCTCCGTGAAAGTGCGAGCGATCGGGAATAGTGGATGGGAGGCCTTTAATCTCGATGCTCCCGTGTGGAACCAACTCGTGGGCGGGCAGGGCGGGCAAGTGGAGGTCACGTACGATCCCGTGGATTGCGATAGCAGCGGCGGAATGGCGGTGAGACTCTTGGGCCAAGCCAGTCGGGACTATTTTGCCCTTCAGATCCTCGGAACGGCGAAGAAAGGCGGCGTGGACAAGGTGGAGCTTTCGAGTGACGGGAAGAAGTGGAGTAGCATGTTCATTGAAGGCGGCGCGTGGGTGATGAGGCCCGCCACAGGCGTCGTGGAATCGGGACGCGCGGTGAGCGTGCGCGTGACGGCGGCGGACGGCGGCCGGCAGGTTGTGCTGGACAGGGTGATTCCGAGCAACTGGAGCGGCCGCGAGGAGACCTACAAGACCAACAAGAACTTCTAGACGTTGTGACGCTGCGAATAATCGCGACGGCGCTGCTAGTAACGGGACGAAGGCGCTGCTTGTAACGGGATGCGCTGTTAGGAGGTGGTGTGACGCACGAGAGTGTTTGCTAATAATGCTGCTACCATGGCATATGGTGGTGTGCAAGGCAGTGAATAAAAGCCCGGCCATTTCAGGTGCAGGCGGATGGGTATCATGAGGCTGCATGGTGATGTGATGCGATGCGATGGATGTGGTGCTGGTTTAAGTACGGGCTGGTGATAAGTACGGTAGGTGCTGGCGATATGCCCCCTTTCTTTTCTCTGTTTCAGTAGTTGGGAAAGGTGATTGTGCGTGCTTTGTTGCCTTCCACTGTCATCTTTTCAATAAAACTTTTATTTTCTGAGACATCTCAAAACTGGTACCCTGAAAGCATCTTCAGCCGTGGTGAGAAAATTAGTGCCCATGTCTACATTCAGAGCTTTTGAATCGTACGGTAAACAATGCTCAGTTGTGAAAAGAAGGTAGAGGCTTAGAGTAACTAGGCTAAGAGATGCAAGCTTGAACAGCTGTTTTTGCTGTTTTTGCTGTTTCAGCTGTTTTTGCTGTTTTTGCTGTTTTTGCTGTTTCAGCTGTTTTTTGCTGTTTTTGCTGTTTTTGCTGTTTTTGCTGTTTTTGCTGTTTTTGCTGTTTTTGCTGTTTTTGCTGTTTTTGCTGTTTTTGCTGTTTTTGCTGTTTTTGCTGTTTTTGCTGTTTTTGGGTTTAGAGTTGCGTGGCTGGGAGAGATTTGGGAGTGTAGGGACTTGGTGGAATTCCGCGCAGAGTGCGGCTTCGAGTCGTCAATTTCCTACCTGGGCTGGTGCCGCGGAATGCCAATAATTTTGAGCCCTTCGCGAACTGACCTCGTGGCGACGGTTACGAAGACGGAGGGTGGGTTGGCGAGGGGCCCAACGGTGTTTGCATGGGAGTGGAACGGCGAATTGCTCTTCGGCAAGGCCATTTTTGTGTTACCACCGTGGATGTGGATCGTCAAACGTGCGGAGTTACCAGAATTCGAACTTCGTATGGGTTGAACAATGACATCTCCCTAGTAAGGGCGTGTTACATTTTCGATTTTTTCGGACGGTTCGGACAGCACCACTTGAAACCGTAGCAGCAGGCAGTGGAAGCATTAGGACAATCACCACTTCAAACGTTTCGAAACGTTTTGAAACCCAATTGAACAAAGCGTTTTACAACAAAACCACTCTGAACCGTTCTGATGGTCCGGTCCGTTTGGAAATATTTGAAAATGTAACACGCCCTAAGCCGCCTCACAGCCGGACTCGACAGTTGCGACGGTCACTGGAAGGCTTCCCCGCAACCGACGGGAACCACGGTTACCACGGCCCTATCCTGGATAATTATTGCCCACCAATAAATTGACGAAACAACGACACTTCTCGAAAAGTATCGTTGAGCCCTTCGCCATCACTGTCTGACCCACAGCGTACGTTACCGTCGCCACTGTCAGCTCGCGAAGGTTTTGAAATTATTGCCATCCCATGCACATGGCCAATTTACTAGTAACGGGAGGAAATCGACATGCGACTCGAAGCCGCACTTTGCGCTAGGCCCCCCAGACCGCAACTCCTGAATCTCTCCCCACTCACGCAACTATATCAGTTTCCTGCTTCTCCACCACATCATCATTCAAATCGACCACCTTCCAAGCATCCACTGTCTGATATTCAAGCGCGCTTTTCCGAAGTCGGTTTTAAACCTTGGTTTTCGCGCTGCTCCTTTTCCCGATGGCTCGCGTTTCCAAGGTCGCCAGCCTGCTGTGCGTCGGAATAGTCCTGCTCGCGCTCGCCCTCACTCCTGCCGACGCCATTCCGGCTACCTCCTCCGACCTGAACAGCGACGGCACGTGCTACCGCGACTTCCAAGGTCGCTTCCGCAACAGTCCTTATTTCGGCAAGGTTGCGCAGGTGCCTGTCAGCAAGTTTAACAGCAACAAGGGCTGCGGAACGTGCTACGAGGTTTCCTGCTCGGGCCGCGCATGCAAGGGCGGCTCCGTGAAAGTGCGAGCGATCGGGAATAGTGGATGGGAGGCCTTTAATCTCGATGCTCCCGTGTGGAACCAACTCGTGGGCGGGCAGGGCGGGCAAGTGGAGGTCACGTACGATCCCGTGGATTGCGATAGCAGCGGCGGAATGGCGGTGAGACTCTTGGGCCAAGCCAGTCGGGACTATTTTGCCCTTCAGATCCTCGGAACGGCGAAGAAAGGCGGCGTGGACAAGGTGGAGCTTTCGAGTGACGGGAAGAAGTGGAGTAGCATGTTCATTGAAGGCGGCGCGTGGGTGATGAGGCCCGCCACAGGCGTCGTGGAATCGGGACGCGCGGTGAGCGTGCGCGTGACGGCGGCGGACGGCGGCCGGCAGGTTGTGCTGGACAGGGTGATTCCGAGCAACTGGAGCGGCCGCGAGGAGACCTACAAGACCAACAAGAACTTCTAGACGTTGTGACGCTGCGAATAATCGCGACGGCGCTGCTAGTAACGGG